GCATCCAAAATTGCTCTTCCCGGAACACCCACGCATTGCGATCTGAACTACTCTTAGACCTGGTTTCCCGAGCTTGGTGTAACATGTCAAGACTTACAAAAGACGAAAAATTGCCAGTCGGCCGGGCTCAATTTCAAGTCTTGGCCAAAGTCGTGGGGCAGTCGTTGAATGTGCTCCTCAAACAAGGGTGGCGGATCTACTGCATCGGTACGAAGCACTGGTTTGCATGTTGTTGGTGCATATGGTTTAGGGGTGGGCTTTGCCAAAGCATGCGGCGCCACGGTGGGAAGTCGTGGTTGGCATGCCGGCCCGAGGCCGCGTCGATGAAGGCTTGGGCGGCCTTGTAACGCCTGGCGAGCACCGTTGCTGGTCCGAGTGGACAGAGTCCGAGGGGGAGAACGAAGCCGCATGCCGTGGAAGCGACACTTGATGTATCCGTTGACCTCTCCATTTTCTAGGGTGCGCGGTCTGCTCAAGGCTGGGATTCTCTCGACAGCATTATCCTGGAAAGGATTCAACAAATCTCGGGTGGCCCGACGCACGTCTTTAGATGGCAGACTGGACTCAAAGGCAACGACTCCTTCGAGGGCTGCCGGAAGGACTGCCTTTCGTACAGGGTCCCCAAACTGAATGGACGAGCCGTTGGTCGCGGTCCAAGGGTGAGACGCAGGGCGATCTGAACGTTGTCAGTGTTGAGACTCGGGACTCGGGTTTGTTCAAGGATATTGCTTGTGCAGTGATCACCGAGAGGATGGGCCAAGAGGAAACAGGGAACAGGGCTTGTTGACGGGCAGGATGACGTGCACCTACGGGCAAAGTGACCAAACGGCACATGGCTGACAAGAGAGAGCGGCTCAGGAAGAGATGCTCCAGAAAAGGCGGGATGAGGCACCGACCCAACTATCTGGGACGCCTCACTGGGGCATGTAGCTGCGGCTGGGGCCTGCCAAAAGACTGAGTCAGAAGCTTGGAAGTCGTCGAAGGCGGGAAAGAAGGTATCGAAATCTCGTGAGTCCTCCGAGTCAAGGCTGATGTCGGTACCAAGTCCATGACGGTGCAAGGATGATGACGAGTCGGAATCGCCACAGCTCGGGACCTCGCTTGGACGTTGCAAGGGAGGGCGAAGGTTCAACTGAGGAAGAGCGAGTGGCCGATGGGCGTGCTGGTGAGCGGAGGCATGAGGATGAGGGTTGGCTTCATGCGAACGTTTAGCCCGCTTTGGCGGAGGAGCGACCATCAGGCCCAACTAGAGCTCATATCTGGGCTCCAAAATGGCTGGGCGGGACGCAAGGGGGGGGGGGGGGCACGAAGGGACAAGAGTGGATGGGGGAAAATAACGAGTATCTAAGAGGATAATGATAAAAAGGCAGGGTCAGATGGAATAACGAACAGGAGGGATTGGCGGCCGACTTGCTCCTGTCCGGCGGACGTAAGAGTGAGAATGCGATGTGAGGTGCAAGTGGTGGAGAGCTTGGAGCCAACCCTGGCTGCGAGCTGAGACAACGAACAGCGCGGTGCAAGGTCGGCGTATTCGTACTTGGGTGCCTTCGCTGGAGGCAACCGAGAGTGACGTGAGGAGAAGTAGGTACCTGGGAAGTGACGGGCGGTGGGTTCTGGCCGAGAAGGAGCTCAACGTAAGGCACCTGACCTTAGGTAGGCAGTAACCACCAAGTGAAGCACAGGAAGCTGCTGCACACGCCCGTACTCCGGGAAGGTGAGTGGAAGTGGAAGTGGAGTTGGGAGTTGCGGGCTGAACGTACGCCCTGCAGGATGCTCACGGCAAGAGGGGGGGATCTGGGCCCGGGGGCTGGCGTGGGTGGGCGGGCGGCTTTGGAATCGGGGAAGTCGGCAGCCAAGGACGTATGGTAGCAAGGGCAGCTGTGGTGGGCTGCGTGGCAGTAAGGAAGCCGCCGCCAGTGTCGTGCAGTGAGTGAGTTGTGACAACGGACGCGGCCGTGTGGCCCGAGAGCTTAGCAGGTTCGAGTCAAACAGTTTCCACGCTAACCGGGCGTTGCGCCTTGGTCGCTGAGGAAGGTTAATGAGGACGCGCAGAGAGACAGCTGTGAAGAAGAAAGGTGAGGTGAGTTTCTCTCAACTGGTTGTGACTATCATCAATTCAGCACACGGCAAGCGGACACCACGGACAGCATGGACTGTTTCCGTTCGCTCGCTGTGAACCGTCTCTGACCTGCCACCTGGCAAGCGGGAGAGGGTCCCATCACCCCATTTTTAGCATTTGGCATACCTACCTCCTCAAGGTACCCATCTGCCTCCCATGGAAGTGCATCGATCCACACGTCTTAATAGATGCAGATCGCTGAAGCTGCCCGACTAACATGTCTCTGCCACAATGCTGTTTCATTCCGTCGCCTCCGGACTGCATACGGCCACGGCACGCTCTGACACCTTCGCGTGCCATCCGTTCCCCACGCGAACTGTCGACATGAGGAGACGATGCAAGATACGTCAAGGGGCACAGAGCAAACATGCAAACTTGCGAGCCCTGAGCCGATGACAGGGGCTTCGGCGTTTGGCCACATGCATCGACTATCCAATGTACGCGATGACCCCCACCGCCTGTCGATCGAACAGGCTCGCGTCTTTGCTTCCTTTTCGAAATTGAAAGAGCAATCAGTCTGCACAGCACCCCCTTCGGGCAATGACCCTAGTCTGCCATCCATCCTGGGCCTGCCTGTACAACTCAACGACGAAGGCGCGGCACGGGTACCGACAGTAGCACGACTAATGAAGAAGTAGGAAATCGATGTTCCGGCCGTCTCGAGAATCGATGATCCTGGTCTTTGGCCTTCGATGGCCCACATCTTTGCACGCCTGCACTCGCATCCGTGTCTTCGCCCCGATTCGTTGGCCAGCATACTGATACATACAGAGAGGGGTTGCAATCGGTTAGCATGCCCACCATTGAGAGCCTTTGCCGAAACCTCCCCGGTCCGTGTGTGTGACGAGACAGCAGAGGTGATGGGCGTTGTCACTAGACAGCGGTCGATGGAGGTCAATGGTCATCGTCGAGGTGTTGAGGCTGCGAGTCGCCCTACAGTACGGGGGCCGCTCCAATGCCCCGCTGGCCAGGGGCAAGGGTCGTCTTGCTCATTGTCAGATGACGGTTGCCCTCAGCTCTCGACCACTTTGACTGAGACGACGTGATCTAGACTCTGGCGATTGTCAACTTGCGGGCCTCCATCCCCTGCTGCTATTGCCTTACATCACACTCCCTCGCCAAAAGATACGCCACCGCCAGTCAGGTATGCTCTTCAAGTAGGTGAGCAGGTTGGCAGGCAGGTAAAGATGATGCCTTACCTTAGCTGAGGTGTTGAGGTGCGCATTTGATGAGTACCCACCTACCTTGGAGAAGTAAGCGCTGTGGAATGCATAGGTGTCAAGCTACGCACTCGAGTGGAAAACGAAAGAGTCAACAGGCCAAGGCTCTGTTCATGCGTGGCGATAGTGGCTTGAGCGCAATGCAGCGGGCTGGTTGTGGTGTTGAGTTTGGGAAGGTTGGCCAGCGGATAGGAGAGCTGGCTCGAAGAAGCAACTTGCTCCTTTCTTCTCCCTCGCGGCCAGGGGCGCCTGTGCGGGCACCATCCATGGCATCCCACACGCGGCGAACGGCCATTTCATGATAAAAACGCCACACCGGACGCCAAAAGCCTATAAGACGATTCAACACGTGAGTGGTGCGGCCCCTTCACGGCCACCGACTGCACTGCACCTTCCTGAACGCGCCAATCCCGCCTGCCTCTTGTGAAGGGTGTTTGCTTGCTTGCTTGCTTGCTGCTGCTGCTGCTGCTGCCGCGCTGTTGCCGCCGCTGCCACTGCCACTGCCATGCCGTGCCGTGCCACGCCATGCCATGCCATGCCGCCTGCCCCTTCCTTGCCCTTCCTTGCCTTCCTTGCTCTTGCCTCGCCGTGCCTCATCTTTTGCGGTAGGAAGGTACCTTCCCTACCTTGCCTGCCTTGGGTGCCCAGTAGAAAGCTGACTGTGTTGTCCATCCTGCCGACCAGTCGCCCATCGCCAGCCAGTACTTTCTGTAGGCACCTAGGTAGGGCCAGTAAATGCCTATGTGCCTACTGCCCGCCTGCCTCTCCGGGTTGCACCACCAGACCTGTCCAGGACCCAAGCCTGACTGATCTTCACCCTTTACTCGGCCCAATTTACCTGAACAGCGACTGTGAATTCAACGCGCACGACTGAAATAGCAGTATCCAACCGCTCGTGGCCAGCGCGGTACGCTGGAGTCCCCGGCATCTCATTACCTTCGCCGCAACCGTTCACGTCATCTCGACTCCAGCGCACGCCCATCTGCCCAAACTGGCCCAACGTCCCGTCAGTACGACACTCCTCAGCGCGGCCTCTTTCCTGAGCGCCCGCGCCTCTCACCATGCTGTCTCAATCGCCCCGTAGCGCGGCATGTCTGTCTTACGCCCTCATGCAACCGCAGCATCCGACGATTCGCCTGAGTTTTCAGACACTCATTGAAAGGGCGCTTC